AAAAAAAAAAAAAGAAAGTTTTGATCTACGTTGTTATATAGCTCTAAGATGCTATAAGATACAGTGCTTTGGTAGAGCAATTGCCTACCATTTGCAAGGCCCTGGGTTGAATCTCCAGCACAGGTTGGGGGCTGGTGTGTGGTGTTTTATATTTTATTGTTTTTTTATTGTGCAGCCATTAATGGTGATGCAACTGAATGCTAGTGAAGAAATGTTCTTTAGTATGTTTACTTGCAGAGGACTATTAGTTGTTATTCTTAGTCTTCTCTTAGATTTTTTTTTTTTTTTGTACTGGGGATTGAACGCAGGGGCACTCAACCACTGAGCTACATACGCAGCAGCCCTATTTTGTATTTTTTATTTAGAGACAGGGTTGCACTGAGTTGCTTAGTGCCTGGCTTTTGCTAAGGCTGGGTTTGAACTCTCAATCCTCCTGTCTCAGTCACTGATATTACAGGCTTGCATCACCACACCCAGCTTCTTTAGGGTTTTAATGACAGTAATTGATCAATGAGGCCAAGCATGTTGGCAAACACCTGTAATCGCAGAGACTTGGAATGCTGCGGCAGGAGGATCACAAATTTGAGGTCAGCTTCAGCAATTTAGTAAGATCCTAAGCAACTTAGAGAGACCCTCTGTAAATAAAATATAAAAGTACTGAGGTTGTACCCAGATTAAATCCCTTCCCCCCCAAAACAAGTAAAAGTTGCCCAAGAAATTTTTAGAATTCATATAAGTGATCATAATGTTAAATAGCAACAAGCAAGTTAATGTTTTATTTGTAGAATTCCTTCTTGTTTTTTTTTTTTTTTAAGTGCTGGCAGTCAAACCCAGCCTTGTGCAAGCTAGGCACGTGTTCTAATACTGAGCTATACCTCCTGTCCCCTTATTGTGTTTCATATGATTCTAGGATATGACCTTCAGATTTTTCTTAGTTGAAACATTAAATGAAGAGATTCATACTTTTAAGATACTTAGGTCACAGAAGCCGATTAGTACATTGTATGGTTCTTTGGAATAGAATTGGCATTCTAAAGCAGGGATGCCAGAGATGACATATGCGAGAGTGTTTTAATCATTTCCTGTGTCTCTTTTCCTCATTTGGAAGAAATGCCACAAGCTATGAAAATCATTGTTAGCTTGCTCAGGATACTGAAACTTAGGCAAAATCATTTCTGTTTCCAATCCCATAGTATGATAGGTGGCAAGGATTGGAACCAATAAAATACCAGTTTCAAAATGCTGATGATAAATCGGTATGATTATTAATATATGCAAAATGATAATATTATTGGATAATATATTCAAGAGTGACCAAAGATCAACATAGGGAAGGTTCCCTGAGTGAAGAGGTGTTTGCTTTGGCAGAACATATACTAAAATTGGAATGATACAGAGAAGATTAGCATGGCCCTGCTCAAGGATGATGCACAAATTTGTGAAGCGTTCCATTAAAAAACAAAAACTAGAGTGAATGGTATATAGTTAAAAGTAGAAAACACTTGAACATGTGGGACATATCAAGGAATAACACCACAGAGACATAAGTTTTTTTTTTTTTTTTTTTTTTTGGTGGGGTGGTTATATTGGGGTTGTGAAGAACTGTGATTGTAGGCTTCTGGTGTACTTAGGCATGAGAGGCCAATAAGAAGCATATTTGTACAAATATACTGTTGATTAGTATCTCAGGGCTGTTCTAGTACAGTCAAAAATATAGAAAAGCAGAAGTCCCTATTTTATTTTTTTATGTACAGTTCTCAATAGAATACTCTGCAGAGGGATTCTTTTATCACATTTTCTTAGGTTTTATGATATGTTATATAGTGAACATGAAAATATTTGACTTAAAAATATAAAAAACATATGTAATTAGACATTGTGATTATGCTGCTTTATAGCTATCTGAGATACATTCCCAAGTGATTTCTTCTGGGTTTGCAAAAAAATTTTTGTATTTTTAATTTTTGTGTGAGACCGAGTTTTGCTAAGTGGCCTAGGCTAGTCTTGTGATCTTCCTGCCTAAGCCTCCTGAGTTGCTGGGATTACAGGTCTATACCACCATGCCCATCATGAAAAAAATTATTATTTTTGGTGCCAGGAATTTACTCCAGGGCCTTGAGTTTGCTAAGCACATGCTGTATCATCGAGTTATACTCTCAGTCTCATGATAAAATTCTTTTTTTTTTTAACCATACGATTTATTTTTATTTTTTTTAGTCATACCTGACAGCAGAATGTATTTTGACATATAATACATACATGGAATCATAATGTCTATTCTATTCTGCTGCCCTTCCTATCCCCCCTACTGATAAAATTCTTTTAGGAGCTAAAAGGTATAGCTCATGATAAGAGTACTTGCCCAGCATGTGTAAGGCCCTGGGTTTGATCCCCAGCAATGCAAAGAAAGGGAAAAAAAAGTTTTCTGAAAAAAAGTAGCAGGAATTCATGAGATTTTGAATTATGGATCTGAAATCCATGTAGAGGTTTTGTCTTTGTTCTTATGACTTAGTCAGTTTCTAATATTTTATTAATGAAAATGGGTTCTTGCTTGAGGTATATATATATATATATCTCCAGGTATTTTGTTTTGTTTTAAATATTAGGAGTTGAACCCAGGGGCATCTAACTACTGAGTCACATCCCCAGACCTTTTTATTTTTTATTTTGAGACCGGGTCTTAGTAAGTTGCTGAGGTTGGCTTTGAACTTTTGATATACCTGTCTCAGCTTCTTGGGCCACTTTGATTACAGATGTGCACCAGTCCAGTTCTTGAATTCTATTAAGTTCCTCCTTTGAAACAGCCTGGTACTTTTGCTTGTATGTCTGGCATTAATCCTTTTTTTTTTCCTTTTCTTTTCATTTCTTTCTTTCTTTTTTCTTTTCATTTTTTTTGGTGGTGCTAGGGATTGAACCCAGGGCTTTGCATTTGAGGCAGTGAGGCAAGCACTCACCAACTGAGCTGTATCCCCAGCCCGGCATTAATCCTTTTCATATCAGCATTGCCACTTAGAATTAGTGAAAGCAGATTCATGATAATTACCAAAAGAATTACAAATGACCACCACAAATACTGAAAGAAGTCATTGATTTGATATTGCAGTGAATCCCAGAAGATGTTGTAATGATTTTCCATTTATAAAAAGTGAATTGTTGGGCTGGGGATGTGGCTCAAGCGGTAGTGCGCTTGCCTGGCATGCGTGCGGCCCTGATTCGATCCTCAGCACCACATACAAACAAAGACGTTGTGTCTGCTGAAAACTAAAAAATAAATAAATATTAAAATTAAAAAAAAAGTGAATTGTCTATTTAACTGTGGAAGTCTAACCATATTTGTTTTAATACATAGTGTTAGTACAAAAAGTTAAATATGCCCAAGTTCAAAAAAGGAATATACTGTATTGACATGCTTATATTAAGTGATTTCTTTGAATTTTAAACAAATGTTTAGTATTTTTTAAAAAAATATTTTTTAGTTGTTGATGGACCTTTATTTATTTGTATGTGGTGCTGAGAATTGAACCCAGTGCCTCACGCGTGCTAGGCAAGCACGCTACCACTGAGCCACAACCCCAGCCCAAATGTTTTTTTTTGTGTGTGTGTGTGTGTGTGTGTATTTATTTATTTATAGTTATACATGGACACAATATCTTTATTTTGTGTATTCATTTTTATGTGGCACTGAGGATCGAACCCAGGGTCTCACGTGTTCCAGGCAAGCAAGTGCTGTCTTTTACCTAATTTAGGAATGAATAGAAGAGAACAAACCTAAAGTTGTTCTTGCATTGTAGGTAGATTTGTAGCACACAGTGTTTGAGTAAATGTTATAGATAGTAAGGAATTAAAAGCTACCAGAAAATATCTTTATAATATTACATTTGGTCTCATTTCATGAGGTTTCAATTATTAGTTGTCATTAGTTTGTCATTCTTTGGCAATTACATTGATTTCAAAGAGGAATTACAATTCATTTTAGTGTTTTATAGAATTAAAATACAAAATGGCTCTTCAGTTTAAAAGTTATAATAAGAAAAAGTGATCATGTCTTCTGACATTTTAATAATGATAGTAGGAAAAGTGAACACAACTTTTGGGTCATATAACATTATTTTTCCAGAGTTAATGAGGGAAGCAAAGCTTAATTTTTGTTTAATCATTTTGTAGACAGTGCTGATCAAAATTGAGAAATTAATTTGGTACTTTGTTTTGTTTTTTGGTACTTGGGATTGAACTCAGGAGCAATTTACCACTGAGCTACATTTCTGGCCCTTTTTAATTTTTAGTTTTGAGACAGGGTCTCACCGAGTTGCTTGGGACCTAACTAAGTTTCTGAGGCTGACTTCAAATTTGTGATGCTCCAGCCTCCTAGGTTGCTGGAATTATAGGTGTACACCATAGTGTCTGGCTACTCTACATCTTTACAATTTTTTTTTTTTTTTTTGTGTGTGTGTGTGTGTGCTCACTCTAAGGATTAAACCCAGAGCTTCACACATTCTGACTAGACTATACCACTGAACCACACTCCTAACCCATTATACCAGGTCTTGACTATAGAAGAAGTTAAAGAAGATGCTTGCAGATTTTTTGGCTGTGGTCCAATAATTTTATTTTAGTTATAAGTAAAATTATGAGGTATCTTAAAGGGCAAAAATGGTTGAAATATTAATTCGTTTAATATTGCTTTAGTATCACCTGTGGAAGAGAGATTTACCTTGAGAATAATTTCTAGAATATAGACCAATTTCTGAAAACTTGGTTAAATAAAAAATATTTGGGACTGGGGGCATAACTAAGAGGTAGAGTGCTTGACTCCATGTATAAGGCCCTGGGTTTAATTTCTAGAATTACCAGGAAAAGAAGAAAAAAGTGATTGTACTAAGAAGTGTGTGTATGTCTGTGGGGAGGAGTTATTTAAGAAGTGTCTCCCCACTTGCTCAAGGACTTCTAGATCAAGAGTAAGAAAAGTAATGATGATGTTTAGTTTGTTATTCTTAAGATTGACATGATTAACAAATGAATTGTACAGTTAGTAAATGCAAAACTCCTAAGGGAAGAATCTTTAAAGTGGGATGATTAGACATGCTTTTATGGAGAAGCTAGCATTTAAACTGGATCTTGAAGGATGGAATTGCATCTTTGCAAAGGAAAATAATGGGAGAACATTTATTTGGAGAAAATAGCCAGGGCAGAAGAAAACAAGTAGGAGCTGAGGATATAGCTCAGTGGTATTTTACTTGTCTACTATGTGTAAGGCTCTGTGCTGGATCTCCAGAACTGGAAAAAAGGGAGAGGGGAGGACAAAGCAAAAGCTAGGGCTGCAAAGTAAGTTTTATTTTAGTACTTTAAGCAGGAATGCACTAGTGATTTAAGATGTTTTTGTTAATGGATAGACATTAAAATTTCTGCTTTCTTATAACAAGATTAATTGATATTTAGTTTTGTTGGATATGCTATATCCATACAGTTAAAGCTCTTTTTTTTTTTAAAGAGAGAGTGAGAGAGGAGAGAGAATTTTTTTTAATATTTATTTTTTAGTTCTCGGCGGACACAACATCTTTGTTGGTATGTGGTGCTGAGGATCGAACCTGGGCCGCACGCATGCCAGGCGAGCGCGCTACCGCTTGAGCCACATCCCCAGCCCCCAGTTAAAGCTCTTGATAACCAGTCTCTATTCACCAAAGTTAATGTGAATGGAACCCCATGAATTGAGGATATATACAGAGAAGTGATAATAATAATGGACCATCTGATTTTAAGCTTGGTAGGGTAATGAATAAAGACTATGGGGTTGTGGGAGATGGTAGTAGTAATGGTGAGAAGGTGAAAAGTTTGTAGGATCAATATATTTTAGGTTCTGATGGGACTTAAGACTTGTTAGAGGGATTTGTTTGTGTGAGTATACCAGAGAAAATGAGCTGGGAAGATAGAAGTTGGTGGTGGTTGGATAGTACAATGTTGAAATTATTGTTTATGACCATGAAAGTGAATAACTAAGGTACAATGGAAGACAGGATGGTTGTAGGAAAGGAAGTTAAAGAACTGAGGCACCAGGACGTTATCAGATCATTTAACCTGGAGATGATAATGATAATATTGTATACTTGTATACTGTCATGACTTAAGAAGTGCCTTTATTACATTTTTTTCTGATTGTTCTAGTAATTTAGGGAATTAAATAAAATAGTATTTCCATTTTATGGATGAGAAAATTGAGACCCAGGTATATAGTTTATCTGGTGCTGAGCTGAGTCTTATTTGTTTTGTTTCTTTTGTTTTGCAATATTAGGTATTGAACCCAGGGACACTGAGCTACATCCTCAACCTTTGTTTGTTTTTTGTTCTGAGACAGGGTCTTGCTAAATTGCCTAGACTTTCCTCCAGCTTGAACCTGTGATCCTCTTACCTCAGCCTCTGGAGTAGCTGGGATTACTGCATCCAGGTTTTTTTTTTTTTTTTTT